TTTGAAGCAAAATACTTTCCTCTGCTCCCAAACAGAGGCAGATTGTTAATGTTAGTGACGATAAAAGTTTAAAGTTGTCCCATCGTCTCTGAAAGTGAAGCTCTTCAGAATTTACAAGTTGCTGTACGCTTTCTCCTGGTTGTTGTTGTTTTACAGTGATGTTATTTATGAATAATGTAACCAATTTATTACTTAAAATTTTGAAGACATCCTTTACCGCTCCCAGAGAAGCACTGCTCACTTTCCTGGAGTGAAKGCGAGTGAAAACAGTGGGGATGGGTGACAGCAGGTAACAAAAATACATAAATAGCARTAAGTCAGGTTTGGATTTGAACCAGTAGCTACATTTTAAATCCAATGAAAGCAAGAATGTTAACTAATAAATTGGACAATAATCTGGCTGTTTAGTGATATTTCCACAGTTGTTGTCTTGGCTGGACTTGGAATAAAATTCCGAGTCCTCAATGTCCGAGACGGAGACAAGACCAAGACCATCAAAAAGTGGTCTTGAGACTGGTCTTAAGACCAAGACCGGTTTCAAGTTCTACAACACTAGTGGTAGATATAAGATTTTTCTGAGTAAGGGGCCATCAAGGGGCCACCATATTCATAGAGGGCCAAGTATTTGTTAAACATACTTGAACACAAATCCCCAGTTTTGGTAAGGTGTATACATTTAACCAGTCACATGTTTAAACACTTGTGATGTAATTTAATTAAAAAAAACATGCACAGTAAATTCTCCTCACCAACTTTACAAACATTTTTACAGTGCATTGATAAAATACTCTCAGACACACAGCATGTAAGAAAATCCAGCTGTTCTTCAGTTGAAAGACTTTTTCYGCAGGACTGTTCAAATCTACTTACTGGCCCCAGTAACTGAGAGGCTGGCAAATTTAAAAAACAAAGTGTGCATACCACGAGAAAAAGTATGTGTGTCTGTGTTTGGGATGGCTTTACTGGGGTCCCAGGACCCCCAGCGGTCCAAGAGAGGTATCTTGGGGGTCCTCAAAAAAATTTCACTCAATTGTTAATTTGGTTTATATTTTTAAAAACGCATGGAGAACAATGAACTAATAAAACAAACATAATAAACTAAATAAAAATATATACAGTATTCCCATGGCATTTAGGGGTTGAAATGACAGTGAATTATCTTTGAAAACAGCATGGGGTTTATGAGGGGGCCCCTGGAATTTTTTCACCCTTGTAAGGGGTCCHCAGACCCGAATGGCTTGAGAACCCCTGATTTATGGAATTGGTAAATGTTGAACAGAAGCAATGTAGCAATATAATAATAATAATAATAATAATAATAATAATAATAATAATAATAATAATAATAATAATAATAATAATGCAATTTGTATTTTCCATCCACAAAATATTAGATTTGTAATGACTTTTCTAAAGTCACTTCTCGTAGAAAAAGCAGCACATTTTAAACAGCTGCAACCCATATATGAGTTTTGGTGTGTGGGGGCTTAGCTTCTGTGTGGGGGTCATTATGCTACCGCAATGCAGTATCTAGTTTATTTCCAATTTATTCAGTCGCACATGTAGTACTTTTCAGTGTTTACAAGARGACATGTTAAAATGCTGTTTCCATGCAGGTGATACCACGTAGAGCTCAGTTATTGTTTGTTAGCGGTKCTTAGCCAAGGCAATGAAAATGTCAGTTTAGTCGTGCAAAATCGGACTTTCTGTGACACATTTTTTTGTAAATTTTGTCTAAACAGTAAACTGTATTGCTACCAAAAATCATAACCACCTTTTGATGTTTTTCTTGCATAGATTAGTTGTAGAAAGAGGAGTAAAAACAATTAAATAAAGAATAGCACTTCAAAACTTCTGCACTGGCATCAAAAWCAAAGCACAGTATAACTGTAACCTGCTGTTGTTATCATTAGGCTCAAATGGAGAACGAGTTGCTAGTTTTCATCTGTCGCTTTGTATCTTCTTTGCAGTGCTGATACGACAAAGAGGCCCTGCCCTTTAGTGGCAGACAATAAATATTCTTCTCAGCATTGCTATCAGGGTTTTGTGCCCGATTAGATGCAGGGACTGGCTGTTATCTCAGTGGCAACTGGGCTGTTTTTTTATTTTTTATTTTTTTTACTGGATAAACATGATACAAGCATTAATCTCCTCTGGTGAAACTCTCATTGGGAAATGTAGATTACGTTGTTCCCAAAACAACACTTTTTTGTGTAAACTCCACTGGCTTYTTCCTCACCACTTTCCTCTTTCCCTCCCTCTGGAAGAGCCACTTGACCGATGCTTGGGGGGAGCGAGGCTGACACTCCAAGAAGGTGCTGCTGCCCTCCACCCCAAACTGCATCGTCTCTCTCAGGCGTTTCTCCACTGCACAGATAGAAAACAAACATGAAAACTGKTTGAAAAARTGAAATAAAATTCAAGYGTGTGATACGGAGCGACACATTAAAATGATCCTCCTACCCTTTGCATTAAAGCCTCTGCATTGTCTCAACGGATCACCGTGTTTAACGTCCTGTCTTCTGCTCCTCCTGAGACAAAAATTCAGAGTTTTTGAGTTTTGCCGTGATGGAGCAGGAGATTGTTGTAAAACAAGGCCGACCCCCACCTTTTGGTTGTTGGGGTGAAAGCAGAGCAGCTCTCTCCATCCCAGGCGCAGTAAGGGTCCCGAGCCAGGCAGCAGTCGGAGCAGGCCCTGCCGTAAACGCCACAGCGGTGCAGCGACACCTGGGTCAGCCCAGCTTCTGATGACACGTACAGCTGTTGCTGTGGCGACATYAACAAAACAAAGTCAGCTCAAGGCTGATTTATGTGCTCAAACTTTCCAATAGGAAAAAAAAAACTCACTCTTTTAGAAGAAATCTTCATTGTTTTGACCGAAGCTCTGCTCTGTAAGTCAAAAACAATCAGATTTAGGTTTTGTTTTTATGATCTTTGTGTCCAAGTGTACGTGAGGAGACGTTACCCGAAAAACCTCCACCTCCTCCAGGGTCAGTTCTTCCATGTTTGTCGGGTCTTTGGGCAAAACGATAACTTTTTGCACAGTGCCTCGATCTGAAAACACGACAAACATCGTTGAAGATTTTTTTWWWAATTCTTAATAMAAACCAACKCCAGAACCACAATCCACAGCGTTCTCACCTGTGCCCAGGAAGAGCACCTCGTATCGCCCGTCCACAGCGTCCACCTGATCCACCACCAGCGCCGTGTACCTATAGTCCACGCCGGTTCTGACCACCAGGGGGCGACGGTGGATTGGATAAACCGGGTGAAACATGAGCGGATGGGCTCTGATGAAGTTCACCGCCTCGTCTGAGAAGTTCTTGGAGGAACGGATGCCAGGTGTAAAGGTTCCTCCTGGACACTGAGTGGCGAGAAAAACGGAGCAGAAATTCTCATGTTCACTGGCAAAACTGGAGATTATCTGATAGTATCCACCTGAGGACTAAAACTTACCGTTCCTGGCCGCGGATAGGGAATCTTGCCAGTATATTCTGTCCACTGGTAGTTATGGCCATGTTTGTGGGCAAACGGTCCGTTGAACACGTTGCGGATATCAGCCATCGAGTACACACACACTGCTGAGCCCTTGAACACAGAGCTTTAAGCAAAAACAGACAGTTMAGGTAAGTGGAGGGGAAAACAAGGTGCATGCACGCAGCAGCTGCATGAAATAAAAAAAATAGATGAACCACAAAAATGTGTGAAATGAAAAGGTCTGAGAGGAGTTTGGAAGTCAAGAGTTCCACAACACGACTCACCCGGCTGTGGTGAARAGAGCGTACACCATGGGGTTTCGTTCATCTTGTGTCGGCTGAATAAAAACATCCCCTGAAAGAAATTATAAAAAGAAGGAACGTGCAGACGATCAACATCGAAGTCGAAGAAAACAAGCTCGAGACGCGATCTGAATAAAGTTCCTTTGACTTTACGTAGTTCGTCGAACGGCGTCTCGATCCCGTCGGCTCCGATCACGGAGCAGATGAGACGGGCCTTCAGGAACGTGGTCCAGCGGTTCACCAGGGATTTCTGTCCCCCTTCATCRTTCTGCAGGAGGTGAAGCAGAGCGTGCTTCATTATGTGATCCACACTGACGTGGTCAGAGGGTTTACGGCTTGAATGTCATATTAATTTAAAAGTTTTAATGATTCGTTTGAACCATTCTTACTCCTGGGTGAAATGATTGTAAAACATTCAATTGTAATGATTTTTTTAATCTTTTGAAAGAATTGGGTGCACAAGTTTAAATTTATTTAGGATTTTCTCTAATCCAAGCAAAGTTCAAATTATACATRCAGTTCAAATAAATACATTGTTGCCTTGTTAACTTGTTGGTACTGATTATGATTGACTGCAGCTGGTCATTTCTTTAAAATTGTTTGACAGGACTTATTGAATTGATTAACCTTCATCTCTCCTGCTCAAGCCTGTCATGAACTGGAATCTGCTGGAACACCAGTGACAGAGAAGCTGGTTTTAAACCAGCATGGACTGAGCAGGAGAGAAGCTCCTTCAAGCTGAGCTGAAATCTGCAGCTGCTCACACGGGACAAACCAAACACCTTCTGGAGAAAAGTTTGATGGTCAGAAGACGCAAAGACAGAGCTCCGTTTTTGGCCACAGTTGGGGGGGGGGGGGGGGGGGGGGTGAGGTAGCATCATGCTGTGTTACTGGTGCACAGAGTGGATGGAATGATAAGAAACTACCTTTAACTTTTTTTAACTTCACCTTAAAATCAACAGCCACACAATTAAAACTCATTTGAGTTCAAACAAAAATAATACCAAATGCACATAAAGCAGGCTGAGACTTTAAGGCTCTACCTGAAGCTGCAAAATTAGCTCTCATTGTCATAGTTGCGTGACGAAAATTGCTTAATTTTGTTTGCAAAACCACAGTGAAATGAAGTGTTTAATCCATTAACTGCAGATAGTCTAATATATTGTAGGCTCTAAGAACGCCTTGTGCCTGGTCATTTTAATCAAAGGGTAAGATGTTAGCTATTCTGCCTGACTAAATTAATTTGCTTTGCTACATTAAATTGTCTGCAGTAAATGGCCTAACACATGTAAACATGGAGAGTTAAAGGTGCAGTATGTAACTTTTCTAAAAATATATTTTTAACATATTTGTTCACTCTGTCACTATCTCCTGACAGATTGATATTAGACAGGTAAGCTATGGGGGGAAAAGGAGTCCTCTTGCTTTTCCCGGTGGTACTACAGGCTTTAGAAAAATCCAGGCTTATTTGGTTTATTTGGAAATGATGGTAAAACTAGTTTGTTCTTGTAGTTTTTATTTGAAGAATTAATAAAGTTTAAAAAAGAGAGAAAAAAAGTGTTTGCAGAGCAGCTTTGCCCGCTACTTCTCGACACAAGGCTTGGGCCGAAATTTTTCTTACAGGTCAGTATGTTTTGAGGTAGTCAGAAAGTACGTCTATGTGTATAACTCTTCCAGAATTTGTGCTGAAACATGTGGTGTTCTATCCGTGACAGATATCAAAATGGAGACTCCAAGTGGTACGAAACCTGTGCTGTGATGTGTACTGCAAGGGGAGGGGGAGGTGTCTCCTGAGCTCTGCTCCATGTGACTCGTTGGACTATAAAAACGAACCGTGTGACCGGGAGTAGAATATTCGGCTTCAGATCGTGAATACTGTACTGAGCCCTAGATTCTGGAATGTTACTCCCGAATCCCCAATCTGATCCTAAAAGAAACTAGTAGACTGGACTGTGCTTTAAAATCATCCAAAACAGAAAACCAACTAATTAAATGAACTACTAATTTTACTAAAAAAAAGCAGGCCAGACAATTATGTCAGAAAGTTGTTGATGGAAATATAAAGTGTGATCAAGGTGCAACTTAAAGAGACATTTAACCAATTATAGTGTAAGAATGTATACTTAGCACAACAAGTGAGGACATTTTAGCTTGGCAGAATTTTTATWTGTTGTAACAAAGCTTCTTGGCAACAAATCTTATGATTGGCAGCACCTGGTGGTACCAGAAGCTCAAAACAAGTGTCAACAGCAACAGCAGAATAAGATGTTTGGCAAAGAAGATTTGGCAATTTTTTTTCACGTGTGCAACCCACATACTCAGCTCTACTGCTCATCCCACAAATGCATGTTCCTTACAAATGTGGCTCCTTTTAAAAAGAGAAATTAGAAGGATTTCCAACGGTATAAAATTTATTGCCAAGAAGCATTTTTACAACAAAGAAATAATCTACCAAACACAGATTTTAATGGAATTTACCNACCCACATACTCGGCTCTACTGCTCATCCCACAAATGCATATTCCTTACAAATGTGGCCCCATCATAAATGTCCTTACTTCTTGTGCTAAGTATAATCGTGTAGCAAAATTTGTTATTGTGACAGGCCTACCTGTGATACACGAAGCTCAAATCAAGAATCAGAACTGAATAAGATGTTTGGCAAAGAAGATTTGGCAATTTTTTTCATGTGTGCAACCCACATACTCGGCTCTACTGCTCATCCCACAAATGCATGTTCCTTACAAATGTGGCTCCTTTTAAAAAGAGAAATTAGAAGGATTTCCAGCGGTATAAAATTTATTGCCAAGAAGCATTTTGACAACAAAGAAATAATCTACCAAACACAGATTTTAATGGAATTTACCTTTGGGATCAAAAAAGTATTTTGAATTAAATTCCCTTACTTTTTGTATTAAGTTCACTTGCGCATGAATAATTTTGATTAGAGAAAAATCTAYAATATTTTTAAACTTTAGCACCTAGTTTTTGTTTTTAAAAATGGTTAAAGTTCTGTTTTGTGTACCTTTTTATCACAGAATAAAAACACTTTGAACAAATCATCAAAAGCCCCATATTATAGACATTCATGTCCATGATGAGTGTAAACTTCTGACCGCAGCTTGGAGTGCTTCTGATTTTGCTGTAAACGTCTTCTATTTATTTTCATGCAGAGCAGGGTTCATCTCACCAGACACACTCTTCCCACCCTGGATAAAACGGTGGGACTCGCCCCACTGGTGGTTTCTAGACTCTTCTCACGGAAGAAGAAGTAAAGTTTATCGTCGTTCTTTTCTGCACTGTCAGGGATCTGCTGGATCTGAATAAACACAGGCTCTGGAGGATAAAAACAGATAAGCAGAGAGAGAGAGAGAGAGAGAGGGAGAGAGGGAGAGAGAGGGAGGATTGAAACAAGCGGTTGTCAAATAAAATGAGAGGATTCATAACCTGCAATCATCAGCGTTTAACTCTTCACGCCCACTCTTACTCACCATTCAGCCACCTGGAGTCATACTGCTCTGTCCTGATGGCTGGCCTCCCTCCCATGGTCCTAAACAGAGCCGCATCTGTGCTCATGAAGTCAATATGCACACCTGCGTACAGGTTATCATCTGCAGAGGTAAGGAGTTGTAGAGCAGGGGGTCAAATTTGTGAAACAGTAGGTCAAAATTCAAATGCCAGTGTGGGTTTTCTTGGCGCGTCTTACTGATCAAAACTGCAACGTTTTCCTGTTTGGGATCATAGGAACATTTTCCCTTTCCTGAATCCACATACCCAGGAACCAGCCTAAACAAGTAGTCCTGCAGAGGCAGATCAGACAGACAGTATGCATAAAAATAGCCTGTTAAGATGAGACAAGGGAACATAAAAAAAACAAAGAAAAATCATAAACAAAAGTGTCCCAGTTTGCAGTCCTGAAATATTTAGCAGGACAAAGCTTTCCCTGGTCTATACTGCTGGSGGGGCATTTGCTGTAAATCCCACCCGGGGGAACTGAAAAATGTTTTGTTCACCTCCGCCCTCCAGCCTCGGTTGACAAATGTGCAGATGGGTTGATAAGCCCCCGTTCCGCAGGTGTAGAGGTGGGTGCGGTTCCACGGCTCAATCAAACGCACAAAGTTGGCACACTCGCCCTGGTCGAAACACAAACAGAATTTAAACATCAATGTCCTGTCTTGAAAGCTGATTTAAAAGAAAAATACAGGCTGTAAGCACAAGATCCTACCTGTTTACCCTTTCCTGTCATCTGACATTCTCCCTTTCTCTTGGCAGAAGCTGGCCAGTGGATCTGTATTAGAGAAACCCCCCCAAAAAAAACAGTCAGTAGGTATGGATCACTGCAATTAAAGKTTTAACCCCACATGCCGAACATCAGACTGGATTTGAGAAGCAAACTGCTGGAGTTGGTACGCACTATCAGCGGTTCCTTGTTGACGTTGTGCATGTCCAGAGCCACCAGGTACTCCCGGCTGCCCAGGTACAGGCGGCCCTGATCCTGATCCATCAGGAGGATGCGGTAGTCGCTGGTGTTGAAAGAGAAACTGAAGGGCCGGGCTGCTTTTGTGTCCATGAGCTCTGTGTGGAAAATGTTACAGCTTTGTTGAAAAAAAGAGAAGAAAAGGAACATCTGGACCATTTGGAAAAGCGGCAGAAGGCAGAACAAACACCAACTCTATGAAAACTATTATTCCCTTTGTGCCGCTGACATGTTTTATTACCGGCTCGGATGAACTTGCGGTCTGTGAAACAGCACACTTTTGACGACTTTTTTTGAAGGGGGGAGGTGAGGGGAAAATGTGTCGCTTATTAAAAATAACTCAACGCGGAGCGCGTTATGAAGCATATTTGCTTTTAAGATCTTAATATTTCATGCGCGCCGATGTCTGATTGAGCTGAAGCCGCCGCACGCCCCGTGGAGCTGGACGAAGAGGCGGGTCTCTTAGGGTACACGGTCAGTGGAACACCGCTGCTAATTCTTAAGCTCAGGTTTGTGTTCAGCAGAGCGTAACCTGTTAAGACATGCTGCGGTGGAAAAGGTTTCTGGCGTCTTTTTTCTTTTTTGTTTTCCTGAAAGCTTTGATTGAACCATTTTCAGCTGCTGCAAGGCACATGGCCTCGTGTCGAACTATTCCAGCAACTCATTGCGCTGCTTCCAACACTCACACTCACACACACACATCTGTGGCTTGTCCAAAATATTGGCCACCATATGTGCACACTGCTGAGGCATGTTAAAGACAGCAGGCTTAAACAATGACAAATGTTTCACAGAGACCCCTCAGAAGCCGGCTTACGGGGATTCGACGGGAAACGCAATCTTTATTTACATCAAAGCGCCGCCCATCTTCCTTTTGAGGCCGGCGCTAACAGGATGCAGTCAAGGTGTCACTAAAATAAGCTGTGCAATCGGATCTCCGGTCGAGGCGGGATGGAGGCACAGAGGTGAGTCAGGGTCCGCTTCTGTTCCCCGAGAGGTAAGTAAACACAGGAAAACAAGACCCCCCAGCTCTGGACGATCTCCAGTGGGCCAAAGTGGATTCACTGGACAGACTAAATGTAGAAACGCCACACCCCCTTTATACTTGTCTCCATCGGCTGAAAATAGCAAACAATGTCCTGCCATCATCTGGTAAACATTCAGCGAACGCTTCGGCTCGGACAACGTTCTGACACTAAACGGAAACATTAAAGTCCGTTACAGAGCTGCCGCTCGGTCACCAGGAGCTCTCATGTTACAGCCTGACGACGTCTCGTCACTAATGCCTCCTGCCACTTAGTCCCGTCTCTCGTATGAATAAACTGGTGACAGCGCCGTGAGGGTATGAGATTCTACAACATGGCTTCAGTTACACGTTTTGCTTTCTAGCAACGCTGACTAACTCTATCAAGCGCCCCCCGATCTTTCTGACGTGTTTAATCGACTTCCTGTGTAGGAGATCCCTGTCCTCCGAGGGCCTCGCGAAGCCCCCCGAGTGTCACCTTTAGCCTGGCTCTCAGGCGTTCAGAAGAGTCACATGTCCTGGAGCAGCCCCCAAACCTCCTCCACAGGCGCCTCATGGAACAAAGACTCGCTGTCATAAACAATGAACAATAACTCCTTGGAGTGGCAGAAAACAGATGGAGACTAAATCCAACTTTTCTTTTCTTTTTTTTTTTTGGTCCGGAACTAAGGGGGAGGGGGGTGGCTGAGTTTTGTATAAAACCTGAGAGATGATCGAAAACCTCTGGGGAAGCTACTGTCTGTGTTTTACGGAGCTGTATAGATGCGAATGCCTCAAACATCAAGACCAAACTTGTGTAATTAGTCCAACTTTTTTTCACCTTGCTCCACTTGGTAATCTGTTTGGCACGGGGTGGGGATTAGTGTGGAAGGGCACATAAAAATGCAACAGCAATTACTCTCTCAAACCGCAAATGCAAGTGTTTCTCCACCACGACGTGTAGACATCTGCTGTCGCTCTCACGAAAGCCGACAAACTCAAAACAGCGCTGCACGTACACCGCCAACGTTCATCAACCGCACATCTCCCAACGCGCTCTAAATCTGCTTCAGATGCCTTCTAACGTGTACCCAAAAAAAATCATAAATGTTTATCACTGAATCACTCTTGAACAAGATAAGATGCCGAAGGCTGTCTAGACCTGACCTGCACCCAAAGCGCCYCGACTCAGCTGCACATGAAAGCGTGAAAGAATGTTACACACGTGATCCACGCCTTTTTCAATTTTCACCTTYGTGTTCTTAGCCGAGGTGTCGCGCACGTGCTCCTGCACGCGTGTCCGTCCACAAGTCGGAGTGACACCATGACAGGGCTGTGGAAATGACTGTAATCATCTCACATTGTTTTGATGAAAGGTGTCTTCCACAAGTTTTGAGAAGACGTGGGGAAAATCCCCAAATAGCAACAATCAAAAAAAACAACAAAAAAAATCAAATGCTTTACCATCATCTCGAATTTAGCCCTGAAGGCCAATTTGCACTTGTGATCCAATTTCAGGTGGTTCCTTCATGTGTCAGAGCGTCAAAACAAAAAGAACTGGCAGGTCACACCATGGTACGTCTGGATTTTAGGATGTGGAGAAAAACGTTTATTGAAGGGCACTACCAGTAACCCAACACACGCAACATCCACCTTTTGTTTTCAGTGTTGTTCTGTTTGACAAGTGGCAGGAAATACCTTCTTTACATATGTATGAAAAGGAAGCAAAACTGCAGGCGTGGGTGAACGAGTTTGTGTGTTCGCCAGGGACATACTTCACAAGCTAAACATGCAATGAGGAAAACAACACTTTGATCCTCGGCTGGTTTTGTAGGTTTGCCTTCTAACAATGTTTCCAATTTAYGGTAGTTTCATTTAAATGGAGGGAGACGGAATATTGACTAAAGGTCAAGAAAAAAAGCATGAAAGTTACAAACTGATTTGCAAGTCATTAAGGAAAACAACAGGGATCCAAGAGGGCAATACCCTACCCCTGACCCTAACACCCACTGCCCTTGTTTTCCTGAATCCCAAACTTTGGCTTGGTGTGCATTTCCTTTAACCGTTTAGGATTAGCAGAACCTCATTACCATAAAAACAAGCCCCGTTTTGAGCAATTAGAAGTAAAAATATTAACAAGATTTGCACAAAAATAAGGAAATCTGTGTCWTTATTTCTTTRTTGTRACAATGCCTGTTAGCTTCCCTTTTAAACGTTGTCACATTTGTAAGGAACATGCATTTGTGGGATGAGCAGTAAAGCTGAGTATGTGGGTTGTGTACATAACATTTGCCAAATCTTCTCTGCCAAACAGCTTATTTTGCTCTTTCTGATGACACTTGTTTTGAGCTTYTGGTACCTCCAGGTGCTGCCATTCAGGTGCCTGTTATAAGAGCTCTTGCCATGATGTACTGTTACAACAAGAAATAATCTACCAAACACAAATTTCCTTACTTTTTGTGCCAAGTATATATCTTTTATTCAAAACCAATAATAAAACATATCTAGTCCCCCTGAACGACAGCTGGTCTAAAACCAATGTCCTCAACATTAAAAGCAGGGTTTCAGAAGGTTACAAGTATAACATTTTTTACAAATTTTAATTTATGAGAGGACAAGCACGAAAAAAAAGCGACTGTAATTAAATACACATACACACACAAAAAATATATATATCCTGAAATAGACCAATGTTTATCAAAAATTGTTTTCTAACTCCCATATTGCTGTATTTGTCAAATAACCTTTATGTGACAATAACATAATAAATCTCCTAAAATTMAGTTCTGGCTTTTGGTCTTGGTGCCACCCCTGGATTTTCAGTGGCCGGCCCCCAATGGCCCCCTCTTAAAAAATTCAAGAGGCACCATTTAGTGATGTGAACCACAGGTTACAATCAGAYAATAAAACACACACTCCCCTTATCTCAGCTATTAAAAGTCTACCTGTTCACATACTCACTKTCCACTCACACCTTCACTATCATGCAAGACCAAAGAGCTGACGAAAGATATCAGGGAAAAGACAGCAGAGCTGCAAAGACAAATACAATAAATATAAAATGACCACCAGTCACCAACATTACGAGCCTCATGGGGTGAGGATGATCATTAGGAAGGTGGGGGATCAGCCACAACCACACAGGAAGAACTTGTTTGAAGCCAGATGGGACCAGAGTCAACAAAACCACCAGTAAATGAGCCAAAGTTGAGGTCTTTGCCACAAACTCCACCAGCTGTGTTTAAAAGAAAAGAAACCATCCCCACAGTTAAGCACACATGTGGAAACATTATATTATAGGTGTGTTTCTTACAGAACAACTTCACGGCACTGAGGGGTCAAGGGTTCAAGACATATTCTTCAGCTTGTGCATAAAATACTAAACCAAATGTCCCAACATTCTGTTGTTAAAGGGATCCATGACTAGTTGTAACATTAAACTTTATTTGATAAACATTTACTTTAACTGTAAAATAAAGACTGTAAAAATACTGTAGGCTGTTTAATTTTGTAAATTTTTTAAAATATATTTTAACACGGACGGAGCCATTTTATTTACACGTAAAGCATTCTGGGTAAATGATGACATGGATAGGTCCTCGTTGCGAGGCTGCTAGGGGGCTATATCCACCCTGAAGGTTAATCTTGGACAATATCTGATGATCGACTCTTTTAAATGAAACCAGAGAGCGTTGACAGAGAGGAGAAGGTAGAAATGACTCAGCCTGTAACTGAAAATATGGATGGAGGACAACAGAGCTGCTTCATGGAAGAAGAACCTCAGCTTAGCCTGTTAGCCTTCGTGCTAGCCCTCATACTATATTGCCTATACCGTATGTGTTAGCTCAGTGCTAGCGTGACAAACAAGCTAAACTGAGGTCCTCCATCCATATTTTCAGTTGTAGGCTGAGTCATTTCTACCTTCTCCTCTTTGTCAACGCTCTCTGGTTTCATTTAAAAGAGCCAATCGTCAGATATTGTCCAAGATTAACCTTCAGGGTGGATATAGCTCGCCAGCAGCCTTGTGCTGATGACCTAGTTGATGTCATCAATTTCCCAGAATGCTTTGCCTGTAAATAAAATGGCCCTGTCCGTGTAATATATTTTTAAACTTTTAGTTTAAAAATTATAAAACCTGAACATCCTACAGTATTTTTACAGTCTTTATTTTACAGTTAAAGTATATGTTTATCATATAAAGTCTAATGTTACAACTAATAGGGGATCCCTTTAAGAACTGATCTGGATCTGATTTATGGGAGCTGCCATGATAGGTTTTGGGATCAGAGTCTGTTTGTTATTAACATGAGGATGCACAATCCTGCACACAATCATGCTAAAGGCCTCCTAAAATAACGAATTACAGCTGAACATGTTTGAAAAATAACTGGATGTACATGAATCAACAAATCAACACCTGAAAAAAATGATTGGAGACACATTTCATTTTAATGAGGACAACGTCCCCCTGGGGCAGGACCAGCCTATGGACACACTGCTCCTTTCCACCTTTAACGTCCTGTACACCACACGTGGTCCTGACTGTAAGAAGGTTCGAATCCAGATTGTGAGAGACTCAAATGATAAAAAAATAACTAAACTTAATTTAAAATGAAACAAAAAGCTGATTTGACAGTGAAACTTACACAACTTAAAGAAGGGCTCTCACATACAGGAAGACAAATCTAACTGTAGGATACAGCCAACATCACACTGCTGAGGTAGAAGGGGACTGAATGTGATTGGGAAAGTGAAGGCACCTGAGCTGATGGAAACAGGTGAGTGTGGCACGCTGACTGCAAGACCACTGAGAAGAAGACAACTAACAGGAAGGTTTGGATAAACCAGACTTTAAAACACTATCAGAATCCAACAACATATACAGGTCAATGGTGGACAAGAACATGTCATGTTGGTGTATATAAACAATACAGAATAGGTATGATGAATGAATTAGAATAAAAATCAAAGAAACATTTATTAAAATAAATATATTTTATATCATATAATACAGAAAACAGTGGTGGTAGGCACAGCTGACCAAAAAGTTAGCTTTGCTAACTCATGATCCACTAACAATGTAGCTTTGCTAATGCTAAACATGTAAGAACATTAGCAGAAGCTAATCTGCATCACACGTCTTTGTCTCCTTCGACCTAAAGACTGGTTGGACGACATGAACATGTTAGTTTGTTAGTTAGCTGTTAGCGAACTGTAAGTTGGCAAAACCTCATTTAGCAGAAGCTAACTGGTCCGCTAATAGTTTGTGAAAAATCTACATCTGCTAGACAAAACAACAACAACAACAACAAAAAAAAAAAGTTCCGCTATTAAATGAGTAGCGGAGCAATACCCGCCACTGATAGAAAGAATCAGTAAGTAAAAGTGTTAAATTATTTTATTGTTTTTTTTTAAACAAAATTCATGGACAGAATATAAGCATGAAGCACATGATAAATAGATATTTTGAGCCACACTCCATATCAGATGGTGACGCTGGTGATGAACACCTTTATATTATAAATAAATATACTTCAAATATATAATTTTTTCCATTGAAATTATTGAAATTTTATGAGTTGATTGATCATAATATATTGCAGGTTATGTATAAAGCTCATAAAAATTTATTACCTCCAAATATTCAATTAAGAGAGTAAGTAATTGTAACCTTAAGGGTATAGAGATGCTTGTAAAGCCCAAAATTCAAACAAATTTGAAAGACAGCTGTACTTCAGTCCAAGGAATAAGGTTGTGGAACAATTTGGAAAGTGATTATAAAAATGCTGRCTCAATMATTTTATTTAAGTGAATGATCAAAGTTAGATTGTTGAGGAGATATGAATTGAGTGTACATTTATAAGAACCGTTGTTCGAGAAGGAGTTGAAGTTTTTCYTATGTCTTGTTGTTTGAAGACTATTATTGTTTCAATTTATAAAAGGGGCAGATATCAATAAGAATTTTTTTCTTATTTCTGCTACCTTTCATTTCATTTGTGTTGTATTATTGTTTGTTGTATGTATTTGTTTTGTTTTTAAATGAAATGAATAAATTTGTTTAAAAAAACACCTGCTTTTTGCCAAATAACTGAGGACAAATGAAATGATGGCACAAATGTATACAAGGAAACACAAGCAAGTAAACCTAAACACAGGAATTGCAAGACACAAAAACCCAATATAATAWACCCAAGAGCCATAAACAAATCAACAAAAACCACAGATCGGTCCAGTGTTTTAATGTGCTGAAGGGCCTTTGAGCATGCAGTGACTCAAAWCTTATTGTCTAGGCAATAAAAGGTTTTTTATAAAAAACACATGGTGTGAGTTAATCAGTCTGAGCAGCAGCCAAACCTAAACGATTCTGAATTTTTAGATGATATTCTCCCTCTATTACAATAAAACTACCATAAAAATTGAGACCGTTACTTTACTGTAAGCAGGCCAACGTATCAAACCAGCAGGGGATGAAATAATGGTTTCACTGCATACATAAACTACTCAATAAGCCCCGAGAGGAGTCCTGGTTTATGTGATCTCACCTTTGAAGGAGAGGTGAACCCGGGGTGCAAACTGCTGCCAGCCCAAGCCTCTGTAAACACAGAGGGCCAACAGGAGGAGTCGGGCTCCCGGTGCTGTCATGGTAACAGTCATGCAGGTAGCCCACAGAGATCTAAATCTGGACAAAAGAAGAAAGAGGAACGAGCGTTATTATAGCGTGCCCCATGAGAAAAAGGGAGACAGAAAAAGAAGGAAGGACGGGCAAATAAAAAGTCTCTCTGATCTCCATGATCAGACGTTTGGCCTGAAGCCTTCCCAGACGAGACGTATAGTTTGGCAGGAGAGGAGAAACAAAACAAAACAAAAAAAAAACCTCTCCAAACCTTCACACCTGCTCTGAAAAAAAAGGAAAAATATGACAGCCCTATTATTTATTTAGAGTGTAAACGTAGTGAGGAATGTGTTAGGACTGTAAATTGGTGCTTCTTGAAAGGAGTCTGACGATTAGAAAAGATTAAAATCTTCTATCCTTCATCTCGAACAAATTCTTAAACACACAATCCTCTACTGGTGCGTATATATTTCACCCACGTTTTTCTTTTTTTCCAAAAGAAACCTGTTAATGAGCGTGCCAATCATCGATTCCCCTCAGATCTCCTGCTCTCCTCCAACAAAGCCCGTCGAAGCACCCTCGAAAGGCTGACGAGCGAGAGACGTGACAGTTCAAAGAAACAGGTAGCCCTGGCTGAAACCCATCCTGACAGCTTCAGGGGGCTGGGGTGGGTTTGAAACTTAGCTCAACTGTTAAGACCCTTAACTCAAGCATTCATTATGCATCTGCACTTTGCTGGAGAGGATCCCATATAAATTATGAATACTAAAAGCTGARTCCATAACATCCATTAAATTGTCTCCCTGAAGGTGTGCCTTGCTTTGGGCTAYAAGCTGCCCCCCACCACCCCATCTTTTTTTTTCCCCCTCATGAAGCCACAGCCTTCAGAGCAGCACGCCTGGAAAGGGGGGGACGGGGGGTGTTTCAGGGAGAGTTATTCATGCTGAAAAAGAAAAAAAAAGAAGAAGAAGGGAAAAAAAGTGCGATTTCACAAAATTTGGGTGTAACACATAATCTGAAAAGCCTGTTCCCGAGAAAAATCTGCACATTCCGATGAGACTGAAGCGACGGCCATGATGAGGGGAAGGTTTAGGGGAACAGAGGATGCAGCGGCAGCACCTTGGRCAGGCATCATCACACCCATCTGCTCCCCCAGGACCAAACCGCCCTCTGRTGTTCTGCACTCACTGCAAGTGATTCACATCTACAAGCATGAGAAACGCTCTAATCAGCTAATAACCTTTCTGACTGCATGTCCATCCACTTTCAACACTAGGATTTTATGCAGCAATACAAAATTATCTTTTTTTTATTATTCACATATAAGCACAAGTGTACACAAACAACAGCAAAGTCAAAATGGAAAAGCTGTGGTTGGACAGATCATCCCTGCCTCTTCTATAGGATCACAGAGGTTCAGTATCAGTCAGGTACTGCTGATCAAATGTACTGA